AGCATTTTTATTAAACATTTTCCAATGTCACTAAGTATCTTTTCTCAATGTGACTTTTTAAATGGCTACATGTTACATTGTATAGGCATTCCTCAACTTATCTAAATGTCTTCTATTGGGGACATGTAGTTTATTAGAAGTCCACTTTAAATAAGCATGAGACGCAGACTAGAGGTACAGGCAGCAGACTGGCTACCCAAAAGCCAAGCTGAAGCTTCTGCATTCATCTCCAAGGCTGTGGCAGTGAAAACATGGTTTTGTTCATTCTGGAACAGTCTGTTTATTGTTGGGCAATAAGGAGAAGCCACAGGTGGGAGATATAAAACGACTAACACAACAAAGCATCCACAAATTATGTAAATTCACATACTGCTGTTCCTTATGTGCAGATGGCCTGACTCATGAGTTTCCTTAACTTTTGATACCTGTTAATGATGCGTAAGTACAGACAAACCTTGGGTCATTTTCCAATTACAGCTGACCTTCAAAGGGCAATTTCAAATAAGGTTAAAAACATAGACTTGGCCTTTGATAAGAACTCCTAAAATTAGACAAGTTTTTAAATACAGAATTCTGATCTTTAAAGTGCTAAAATGGAGAAAGTAAACATTCTATTTCATAAAGTAGAAGCACCAAAGGGCCATTCCTCACCTTAATCTCTGACCAAGAACGGAAACAAGAGAGATAAATGCATCAATGTGTTTGCCTATCTCTGATTTATGCCTTGCCTGGACCATTTTGAGGCAATTTTCTATGGAAAAAGGAAAAGAACGAAATATCTTGGATTCTTACTGGTTTCACTGACAACTGATAAAAATTTTTAAAGCAGACAAAAAAAACTAAGCAAAAAAGTATTGAATAAACTAATTGACACTAAAATATTTTCACTCTAAAGTTTTAACAATTAGTAAGAAAATGAAAGCCTAAAAATTAATATTTTAGAACAAAATAACTCAAGTCTTGATAAGAGAGTAAAAGGTATAGGACCGGCTTTTTGTAATATCTATTATTTTCCTTGAAATATATTTATGATGGAAAGCGACACCTTGCCACGTGACTCGAGTCTGTATCACGTGCACTGAAACCCAGCAGTTCATCTTGTCGCTCTTCTCACTCGCTAGCAAACGCGCAGTTTTCACAGGCACACGTCACACTTTGAGAGCAAAGAAAATGCTCGTCCTTACCGTCAGCACTCTTCAGTGACAAAGAAAAACTGGGGATGCTGCTGTTTGTGCCATTGTGG